CACACTGGACTACAACAAATTCCTTCAGACGCTTGTTTTTTTTTAAAACATGAACTCAACTTATAACAAAAAGTAATAAATCAAAACAATACACTACTCCACTCTCCTGCAATGCTACAAACTTGCAGCTTTAAAGCTTGTTCTTTTAGAAGGTCATGCTATGATGTATCGATATTCTATTGGTCACACAGGATACTAATTTGCAGGTCAGAGTTCACCCAATCTGCACTTTGAAATGCAAAACTTCTTTGCATGAGCTTGTGTTTCCAGTCTCCAGTATTCTCATGAATGGAATGAAAAGTGTAGTGTGACCAACCCAAATGCTTAACGCAAATGCCAAATGCATAATGGCTTTGTTTATGCAACTGGCCCGATATACGATATACAGTCCAATAGCACTGGGACTTTTCATTCTTTGTACCAGTCCACTTACTTGTCAGTCTGTGCATTAGTGGTGGGAATTTGTCAGTGGCTCTTTCTTCAGGTTACATCATTATTGAGTTACTTACTTTGTGAGTGAGTTGTTGAATCAATTACTTTAAGGTATAGTTCAAATACCTTTCAGAAAATTCTGTCATTAATTACTCATCATCATGTCGTTCCAAACCGGTAAGATCTTCATTCATCTTCGGAACACAAATTAAGATATTTCTGAAGAAATCCGAGAGCTTTCTGACCCTGCATAGACAGCAAGGGAACTACCACGTTCAAGGCCAAGAAAGGAAGTAAGGACATCGATGAAATAGTCCATGTGACATCAGTGGTTCAACTGTAATTTTATGAAGCTACAAGAATACTTTTTGTACACAGAGAAAACAAAAATAATGACTTCCATGTTAGTCTTCGTTCACCAGAGTACCGCGACATACATGTGGTGCTGCTGACGCAGGAACTGGCATTCTAACATAGAACCCGGATGCTCTGCGCCTTGTTTACAAGCAAAAAATTATGCACACTGTCTTCATAAACATGTCTGAAGATTTTGACAGACCGGGTGACTTGCCATTTTTTTGCTCAGCCTTACTTATTTGAACCAGAATATACAGACGATGAACTAAGGGAGATGGACGTTTTTGGTCAGAATGCCGGCTCCTACATCAGCAGCACAGCACGCATGCGTCGTGGTACTCTCATGAATGCGCGTTGAAGACTGACACGAAAGAGAAGAAATAGTTGAATCATTTTCTTTGCGTACAAAAAGTATTCTCATAGCTTCATAAAATTATGGTTGAATGACTGATGTCACATGGACTACTTTAATGATGTCCTTACAACCTTTCTGGGCATTGAATGTGATAGTTGTGTTGCTATCTATGCAGGGTCAGAAAGCTCTTGGATTTCATCAAAAATATCTTTATTTGTGTTCCGAAGATCAAAGAAGGTCTTACGGTTTGGAACGACTTAATATTGAGTAATTAATGACATAATTTTCATTTTTGGGTGAATTATCCCTTTAAATTATTCATTCAAAACACTGATTTATTCAGAAAAAAAACAGCTGACTGTCTTTATGAGTGAGTCATTGAATCATTCACTTAAGTAATTTGTTCAAAAACATTCATTTTGTTTTAACTTAATTTGGAACTATTTTCGAAAGCAGAGCAAAATTTGTATTTTGTAAGTAATTGGCAATATTGTGACTAAAATGTAAGTTACACAATATTAACATTTTGTTTAACTGTTGTGTAAAAGCAGTACAGAAGACTTTGTTTTAGAACATCAAGTAGAATAAATGAAGTAGAGGAAGGCAATGAAGTAGAATTTTGCCTACTTTTTTTAATTCTATGTATTCGGACATACTACTCTTTTCATATACTGTTTTTTGCCTTTTTACCTCCTATATAGTAGGGAAGTAGGCATATTTGGACACAGGGGAAGGCAGAGTCTCAAATTCAGTTTTTAAAGATCCAGAAATCATTAGCAAAATGCTACTAATGCTAAAAAAAAAAAAAAAAAAAATTCACATGGGGCAGTGGTCAAAA